GGCTGATTTGTCAGGATTTACACGCATACCTAGTTCCTCAAGAAGGGAGAACACCTGAAGGACGCACCTGTGCATAAACTGGAGGTCAGCTACCGAGCGCACTTCCCCAGGACAGGTGCGAGTCGTCGGCGAATAGTGTGATGAATTGTGCAGCCCATGACTCCGGAACCCGTTGACAAAGAAGATGATAGAAATATGAGCTGAACACAGCAAAGAGAAGTGGAGCAACCGTGCAACCCTGACGTACTCCTCTACGCATTGGAATCTGAGTGGTATAGCCCTGGTGCTCAATCTTATACAGGCTTTGCTCGTGAAGATGTAGTAGAGCCTGCACAAGTGGTGGCTCTGCTCCAGCATGTATAAGAGCGGATTCCAAAACCGGGCGTGGGAGAAGGTCGAAAGCTTGAGAAAGATCAACGCTTAATTGAACTCCTCCTGCGCAAGCTGCTGCGGCAACTCCTTTGCGCTTGTCATACACTGTACGATTGCCCTGGCGCAAAACATCGCGAATCTGCTTGCAATGACGAGCAACCCTGGAAACTGCCTCATCAATAGCCTTGCCCTCAACATATGCAAATTGCGGAGTCTGCCACAACGTCTGGCAAACCATAGGATGCAAGCGATCTTTGAGAACTTTAGCTATGGACTTACCTCCCGGGTCCTGAAGTCCTAAAGGCCTGAGGTCCTTAGGGCGCTTATTAACCTTACCAGGCTTGGGAATCATGAGGAGTTCGCAATCTGCCCACTCGCCCGGCACCCAAAGGTCGCATTGCCCCCAGTGCGAATTTGCAACTCGGCAGAGCCGCTCAGCCAAAGATCCGGCACACGCCTTCCAGATGGTGGTCGGAAAGCTGGATCGAGGAACCCCTTTCCTGGCCTGCAGCTGAGTGATGGCCAGCTTCACCTCATTCACCTCAAGCTCAAGAGGTTCAGAGAGAGCTCGGCGCTGTTTGGGTGCACCTTGGCCAAAGACCTGCCGACAGTGTCCTGCAATCTCCCGGAACTCCTCTTTGACAGTCATAAGGGCACCTGTTTCCGAACGAATCTGAACTTTCTCCCGTTTGGCTTTGGGGGCCATCTGACGAATGACGCGGTATAGCTTGCCTTGAGAGAAAGAATTGGCAGCCTGCTGTGCCTGGGAGAGCTGATCCAAAAGCACTTGTCGCCGACGCTGCTTCCCCTCTCTTCTAAACTGTTTGACCTGCCTGTCAAAGGCAACCGCATACCGCCAAGCATGAAGACAAGCCTGAACACTCGGATCCCGACCTCGGCCAAAAGCTTTGAGGGCCCGATGCCGCTCCCACATGCGTGACAAAGAAGTGATCACTCCTGGAGCCATCCATGGTCGAGGCGCTCGCGTCACTGGGCGAAGGGGGTACGCAGTCTCACAGAAAGTCAGGACAGTGCGATTGATAGTAGAAAGCGGCATATCAGAAGGGGCCTCTGACAGGAAGCCTTCCACTTTGGAGCAGAGAGCCTGATATGTTGTGTCATTGGCTCGAGCAGACGTTTCCAGCGCTTCAGCATCATACTTACGACGTGGTTTGTGAACCCGTCTCAAGGCATTATGCTTCCAACCTGCAATCAATGGAATTGAGGCCTGGACCGGTCTATGCTTGGCATTGCATCGCCATGGCACCAGATCCAGTGAGAGCACTCGCGCAGCTTTGGCTTGGGAGTCAGCAGCCGATCGTCTGGTGCACACAAAATCTATCTGTGTGCGCACGCCATTCATGGAAAAGGTACAAGCATCACTGACCCTTGCAGAACCCCAAGTGTTCAGCGCACAAAGATCATGCTGAACAATAAGGTTCATCCACTCTTCAATGTCTGTTTGCTGAGCATCTTGCTTAGGCACCCCCAGGCCGACATAGCCCTGCCTACTAGTGCAAGGACAATTAAGATCCCCAGCCAAAAGAACTATGTTTCGCTTGGGTAGCGATCCCAGCAATCGGCCAAGCTGCAGCCAAACATGGTGCCGACGAGTCACAGTCGCCGGCTTGGAGTTCCACGACCACTGATATACGGCCAGCACGTCTGTGTTGAAATGCTCCCCTAATATCCTGACATGGAAGACTCGCCCCGGTACCCAAGTGCAGAAGCGCAACGCTTCCCCTTTGCATATAGTAGCCCGTACAAAAACAGCCACCCCAGCAAATCGAGCAGAAGGGTCCGGCGAAATCATTGCATGCCAGCCTCCACTCGTCCACGAGGACTCGTCACGCCCGAGGCCCCAGTGGACCTCAGTCAAAACAATGATGTCCGCCTCGGTTTGTCGTACCAGCCAACTCATGAAGACGTCGTATGAAGAGGTGCAGAGCCCCCCTATGTTGTACGTGAGTACCTTCAATCTAGCAGCTGGTCTAGCGGTGCGGCGTGGCGCTTCCAGTCTACTGTCCCTTGGAGGTGCCAAGGAGGTGGCACCGCTCGTCTCCGATTGGACAGCCCTGCCTTCCAACCAGCGTCCTCTGTACCATGTGCCTCCTTGAGGGCTTGAGAGAGCACGACGTCTTGCTCTGAGGAAAGATCTCTTTGCAATCTTGCCCGGCTTAGGCCTCTGAACGGCCGCGCTTCCATTAAAAATAGACCCATATTGCTTCGCCTCCGAAGAGACTCCCAGCCCGCCCATGGTCAGCGAGCCAACCCTCAGCTCTGTGTGACTCCCTGTACAACGTTGCGATTCTCGCTCGCTGCCACACTCCGGGAATTGGGACCCGGACAGCTCGGCGTTTAAGTTGCTTGAGAGTGGCGTCGTCAAGTCAGAAGCCCCCAGCATAGTAAAGCTGCAGCAGAATGCAAAAAGCACAATTACAAGCACAGCAATTTCCATTGCACACCGGGGGAGAGCTCCTACCCTCAAAAGTCCGAGCCGAGAGCCTTATATATACATATATATATATATACATACTAGCCTCCTAGACAAACCGCACGCACCGAAGTCAAAAAGGAATGAACTGAAGTAATGACGACTCCTGCATCACCCATCCTTTGTGCATTGCTGCATTGCAGAGCACCCAAGTCAACAAAGTCTTTCTGGTGAAAGCTTGCTGTCTTTCTGTCTGCGACAGTAGAAGAGCTCTCCCACTCTTTCGCCAGCATCCACACTGCTGACCTTGTTTTGCACGTCTTCTCAGACAGTATTACCAAGGCAAAGGCATCTGCAATCAACAAAGCCACATCCACGGGTGCGGCATTGACGAAACCTCACTGTTGCTGTCAGTGGCTCAGGGACGTGCAAGGCAAACTTATGCAACAGACGGCAACATCTTGAAATCACCGAAAACATCTCCCGAAGACCCCGCATAAGAACTATTCCGGGCAGAAGGACCTCGGTCGCCAAACCACAGCGGCACAGGTTCCGCCTGTCGATGGATGTCTTGCTGCTCTCGGCATCGGCCCAGGCACACAATTGACTGCTGAAGACAAACGTTTGCCTCTGCTCCGGTGGCCTCTTCTGCCCGAACTAAGACCTCGACGTAGGACGACGTGTCTGCAGAAGTCAAGGCCAAAGCCGGTGCTTGCGTTTGCGAAGTTCAGCAGTTTAGCGTTGGAACATAAACCATCCCCAGTAAGCCGACTCCCCTGAGCATTCTGCGCGTCGCCCGGCTTTCACCTGGCCGACCCAATGCCTGAGAACTGGTTTTGACGCGATGTATACGCTCTGTCACAACGCAAAGCTGAGGACCTCGCGTCATCCTTGGCCCAGCGCCAGGAACTCGGGCATAAACTTCCTCAGTGTATGCCGCGGTGCAGGCGAGTAGAAAGCTCTTTTGAGCCAGCGGCAGAGAGCCTGATGACGCCATGCTGCCAAGCTGCTGGATTGTACATGCTTCCTTCTCCCACCTGGCGGCACTATTAGTCTGGACTTGGGACCTGTTGGTCTGAACATGTCTGGAAATAATGACGGTTCCAGAAAACTTGAAGTGTCCATCAAGACTTGGACCTTGATGGACAATACCGACCTTGTGGCTGAGCTTCTTCGCCAGCTCTGCGGCAACGGCCCCTCCCTCTGCAGGCTTCAGGTTCTCGGGCTTCAACCCGATCTCCTGGTCAAGCTGCTCAAAGCGGTCATTTTGAACAAGCGTAGGAACTTCGCAGCTTAATTCAGGTGATCGCACTTGGAGTGTTTTCTGATACTTCCGGTCCTTCCCAGCCACGCGAACTGCATATCGACCAACATCCTCCGATTCAGTGGTGGGGGTGAACTGACAAAGCACCTACAAGTCGCATTTCCTAACTGTGAGTTCCGTGCTCGTCCACAGCCCGAGTGCCTCTCGCCACCTGACGATGACACCACGGTGTCCATTCAACTCGGGAGACTTCCCAAGTCCGTGTAGGACAACCCTCTGGCCTCAGGATTTCAAGGTCCGCTTTGGGAATCGCTCTTGCAACGCGACATGAACTTTCTTGTACATGGAACAGGGTACTAGTTCTCTCCGCATAACACTTCGGAAGCCGAGACAAGGGTTTGTTCATGAATATCTCAAGCTGCAAGCACATGCATTCCGAGGCTCCGGTTCGAAGAGCCGGTTTTGCCTGCACCAAGGGAGATGCAAAAATGCAGCAGACTTCTTTTCGATGCCCTCACGCACAAAGTAGGGCAAGGCCCTTCAAGAGCTTGCAGGGGGCCTGCACTCGATAGCCGCCGTCGGGAAGCGTCATCAGCACAGGAGTTGGAGAGTCAGTGTAGCTTGGATGGACAGCACACTGTTGTCTGTCTGCCACATCCAGCAAGCTGTTCGTACTTCGTCGTCATGTTTCTCAGAATCGCGTCCCTGCTGTTATCTGTAAGTGCAGCTCTATGAAACTGCCCCGATACGGTCTGAACCATGCGAAGTGTCTTTCTGTACTGTGTTACTGCGTGATATGCAAGCTCATCCGTTTAGCAGGCCAAACAGTCCAGCACGGAGACACTTGCAAAAGCCGAATCGGTCACACAGCGTCTTGATTAAGCGGACTGTTTCTGGCCAGTCCACTGCATTGCTGAAGTAACTTCACGTCTACGTCCTCTTATTCTGCTTCAGAAAGCTCAGCAGCTGAACCTTCGTGCTTTGAGGCCTTGTGCGCAAATTGCTCGCACGATGTGGTGAATGAGCCCACTGGGGCTTGCACAATCGGCCGATCTGATCTGGAGTGAGTTGCATGAGCTTCTGCATCAACAGTGCCTGCGCAGCGACAGGTCGTCCAAGCGGTAGCAATAAAGCGAAGAGCATCGTCCAACACACTGCCACGTCCATCCCCCGCCAAACAAACGAAGAAATGCTGAAACACTTTTTTTTATGGCGGTCTTCGCAGGGCATGACGGGTGCTTATACCCTGACACTGACACCGCTGTCGGCTGTCGTTTCCTCTTCTGCTTCTCCCGCCGAGAGGTCTCCTCCCTCCCTCCTCCCTCCCTCTCCCTCCCTCCCTTCCCTCCCTCTCCCTCCCTCTCCCTCGTTCAAGGTGAGCTCCTTCGATTTGTTGCCGTGTGAGAAGGGCAGCGCCTTCTGGTCAGCATTGACTGCAAGGCCGGGCCCAAAATCTTCACTAGGAGGCGGAGGAGGCGGCGGGAGCCTGAAGAAGCACAAAGAAATTCATCGGGATACGATCGACTTGGTACGAACTGAGAAGCTGGCTCATGTTGCGACATCTCATCCTGCCGCAGTGGAGCTTAACAGCATGCAAGCAGCAACTTGAGGGCACATGTCTCTAATCCTGGAGCTGTCTGGCTTTGGCTTTGGCTCGCTGTAGCTCTTCGGCGCTCAAAGGCCTTATGTCTTGACATTACGTGGAATGGAGACCCCCGCGCGAACTTTGCTTGCACGTCAGGATTCCATTCGCTTCTGGGCAGCTGGCAAACCCGGCTCATCCAACATCCCGGCCAAACACTCAGCATGGATCAATGCCTGGGTTTATGGCCTATCTGACACCTATGTCGACAGCAAAGCTCTGTGCTTTATTCGGCACATACAGCATCGAAGAAAAACCAACCAAGCAGAACCAGAAAACTGTAGAAACGAGACGATGCAGTCCGAGTGCTGCACGTTGCAGATTTGCGGATTTTCTGCAAGAATTCGCTGTGCCGTCACAGGGGCCTGGGCCTGACCATATAGGGAGAAACAAAAGAAAAGGGCGCGCCCTTTTCTGTGGGCCCATTCCCACACACGGAGAAGTTCCCGAGTGCGCCACACTCAGCTTTTGAATGTGACTCAAGATGTAGAAAAGCTGGCCCATGGTGACATTTGATACCTCAAGCGACACATGCGTGACAATCAGTCGCAACATCAGCGCAGACATCTAGAACAACAGACCTTTCTTTGCACACTGTTCAGGGAGTCTCGCCTGCTGCACCAGATCGGATGGAAGCTCACGACCGGCCAAGGACGTCACGCCAGGCGGTAACCTACAAAGGCGTGGCAAGCGACCGGAAACTGGGATTAGTCAACTGCAGCACGAATGTATTCGTGCCTCTGCTGTCCATCCATGCCGTACCACCGGCAAGCCAAACTCAGATTGGACAATCTTGGAAACGACGTGACCTAAATCCTAAGCATCGACTCTTAAACAGTGTTCGTCAAACGGCATGAATTGGTCAGAACCTGACAGCAGATAAGCTTGATAAAGCATTCATGCACGGGAACGTCCGCATCAAACCAGTGTTGAAACAGGACAATGTTGCCACGCACTGTAAAAGTCTTTCTGAACCTCGATGATTACATCAATCTACCAAGAAGGGAGAATCTCAGACGAAGTCAATCCGAATCAAGTATGTTTTGCCCAATCCGAAATATCAATATCTCAGAAGCCACAAAATGCACAACACAGAAAACTGAACATGTAAGGGGCGCTAGCGTTGAGCTTCACACCGCCTTTGTCTGGTACCGCACACGTTCACGAAATCGCACAAAGAAGGTCGAACTCAGACCAAAAGACAAGCCATGGTGCGAAATCTACAGACTCGCACACATTCTCACGGTAATTACTTGTTCGACCAAGTGAAATCGTCCCAAAACCCGTGACCAACTGTTTGGTACGCAGCGCATGGACGCCCCTACTGCTTTAAGACTGTGAGAGCACGAAAACACTAGGAAACACGATAGATGGTGTATGTAGGGTTCAACAGGGGCTTTGGGACAAAACGTTAGTTTAGGTTCGGAAGTACAAGCACTCGTAGCTTCACTCGTAGCTTTTTGTTTGAGCACGAGTCCCCGGTGGTCAAACCTTGACTGTTTGAATGCAGCTTTTTCTGGAGCTATTTTGAAGATCTTTCAGGTTTGGGCTTGCGGATGGCTTAAGCATCTGTCGGAAGTAACAAACAGCTGCAAAGCAACAATGCAGAGAGCATTGGCCCACACAGCCGAAAACTAAACAGCCAGAGTCCGCAACAGTGAGGTCAGCTTCGTCATCATGAGGAATCACATCATGTCAGCAACAGCATCATCAGTAGCAGCATCGCCATCATCGGCAACATTTTCGTAAACAACAACATCATCGTGACTCCAACCCTGAACGTCATCATCCCACTGTGGCCACCCCCCCCACGACAAGAAGGACCAGCAGCATCACCATGCCCGAATCTGCAGAATTCCAAAACCCCGACAAAAACAGAATTTCCGAAAAGCGCCGAAAGTCCGAAAACCTTGAAACCCGAAACTCTTGCAAATTCGAGCGAAAAAGGTCAATACAAGGGCGTACGCGCTACGGTCTAACTGTTTGGCAATTACTTTTCACATCACCAAAAATGCTTCTTTAAGATTACAAAAACCTGGATGAAGAAAGTCTGGATACCCTACATGAGCTGGTTTGCTGCGGTTTTTGGTCTACGGTTCGACACCATGGACCACAGTTCAACCTGCCCGTTTACATTCGACGGCACCCGTCACTACAAAAAAGCCACACGCCATCACAGCAAAGACACCTTCTTCTGGGTGGTAGGCCGGGAAACTCCTTTTGTAAGGAACCAGGCTGACACGGGAAACGGCATACGGTGGGAAGCCGCAGGGAATTGGAAACAGCTGCAATTTGTTTCAGAGTGCCTCCAGAAAGGAAAAAAGCATTGAAACAGAACATGATTTCTGCAGGGAACGTCTAGATGTAGGAAAAACCCTGCCTCAGGAAACGCGTTCCCGTAGAAAACGGGCTTCCGCCACAAGATCTTCCATAGTCAGGAACAATCACAAGCACAACAACACAATTACAACAGCAACAACAACAGCAAAAAACAACAACAACAACATCAACAAAAACAAAAACTAAAACGAATGAAACAAACAAACAAAATTAACACAAACAAAGCAAACAAGCAAAAAGACAAACAAACAAACACAAACAAACAAACAAACACACAAACAAAAAAACAAACAAACAAACGAACTGAACAAAGCCACAAAACAAACAAGCACAGAGCAAACCAAACAAACAAACAAAGAACACGCAACCCAAAAAACAAAAAAGTCAGTTGAAAAATTCAGTTTGACTCACAATGTCAGGCTTGAACGGTGCGCCACCTCACCAGAAAGCAGCAAGCAGCGTGCTTTGAGTCTGATGTCGACACGAAAAATTTTTGCTTGAAAACGAAAAAAACAAAGACGAAAGTCCCTAACGTCTTTCTAGATAAAGGCTTATCCGCACAAAAGCAGACAGCCACACGAAAATGTTTTTTTGGAAACTTAAAAACGAAAAAAAAATCCAAAGGCGTTTCTAGGCAAGGCTTGTCCGATCTTGTTAGCGTTGGAAAAGGGTATGCGAAGCCCCATTGTGGGGAGTCCGGTGGCTTCGTCGAACCTCCACCAGTTTTCCAAAGTTTGACCCGTGCAGACTCTTTACAGTCTGCGGTGAATCAAAATGCCACATCTACGATTTGCTTTGTGAGAGTGAGAGCCGTGTTGCACGATGATGTTGTGCTTGAAGATTCTCCGAGGTGTCAGTACTTGCAGTTCTTTGAGATCTCTAACTAGTTGAGCTTGTAGTCCCTTAAGATCCCGAATAGAATCCCAGTTGAGCTGGTGGCATAGGTGCAGGGCACGGCATGGCGGAGCCTGACGCTGCAGGATGTCCATCAAAATCGTCGCTTGTCCCCGCGCATGGATACTGAATTCGTTGCAAAATTTGTATACTGTGTGCAGACACTTGAGAGCCGCCTTAATGAAGTCGAAATCGCTGCAAACTTCAGTCTTCAAAAGAGGTGCCACGGCTGAGTCTTTTTGGGTCAGCCTTCTAGTCCTTTAGTCTTTCCATTGGTGCTTGCAAAAGCCTCTCAAGGCTCTATCTTTCACACTGTCCAATACTGNNTTTTGAGCCAGTTTGAGGCGCTAATACAGAGAAAGGGAAACTGTGGGGTCCGGGGCGCTGAAGGATACAGAGAGAGAGGGGAAGGGGAGGGGAGGAGGGGGTGGCCAATCATTTTCCAAACGGGGTGGGCAATTGCCTCTGGCACGGAAGTCCGTTGTCTGCTAAGCTGCCAAACGAACGCAAGACTGCCCGAGTAGTGCCAGAATTAGGCCCGAAATAGTGCCCGAATGAACCTGTCATAGTGCCCAACTGCATTTCCTTTGT